TCCGAAGGTATTCCAAGGGGCTCAGGAGAGAGAAGCCACAGTGTTAACAAGGATGCTAAGTCTAGAGAAAGAGCATTATAATGATAATGGAGGCAAAGTGCATGCTAGAGGCAGGAGAACAGGAAGCAGTAATGATAGGAGTCGGATGCACAAATGCTCCAAAGGATCAGAGCTTTGTTTCTGAGACATCAACAGGCTAAGACAAGTGATTTCCAAGCTCTCCTTAGTCAGCATAAAGGCTAGAGTCTTATTTTCTTTTTTGAAATGAAGGCTGAAGGAAGAGTCTATGAAATTATCAGTTTCCAGGGGAGATGGCCCCTCTATTAACCTACCCCAACAGATGGGAGCAACACAAAGACAAGGACACATGGAGATGCCATCTCTAGAAAGGAACGGCTACTACAGCTGGCACCTTGGGGACCTAGGCTCCCGCCTCACTTCATTCAGATCCACCCCAGAATTCACATGACCCGGCCAGCTCCATGGGCCCCAAAGTTGACTGGCCTTCCCGAAATGTTGTCCCCAGGAGTCCCACCCCTCTTGATAACCCTGCTGGTCACAGCTGCAAGGCGGGATTGGAGGTCTGCTGGGGCTGCCATTTTCTGAAGCTTACCATCTATGCTCTCTACTGACAGCTGCAAGCCGAGATTGTGTTGCGGGTTTACCACCCAGTGGTTACTCGTTGCTGTGATATCAAACACCAGCCAACCTTCTTCTGCAGCCCAGATTGTTCGAGTGTCAAGCAGGAACAAATCTGAATCCCTGGAGAGACAAAGCCAGAAGAGAGGAAAGGATCGCTTGCAAATGTCTTTGAATTCTCTCTGGAAATACAGCCAGCCTACTAAATACGAACCGAAGCTATAAGGATACCACTTAGCAGTTTGCAACGTACAGGTTGTACTAGACAGAAGCTGTTGCTAGATTATTTTTAATGTATTTAAATCCAGATAGCTTACAATAAGAAGCAAGAGACATGCAGACAAGAAGATGGGGGGGGGGACCTCATAGAGGTTTTAAATTTGTTTATCCATCACCCAGCAGACAAGAAGAATTGTACATAAGAAAAATCTGGAATACAGAACACACATTGCTAGAGTTATGCCACATGTGCTTTCCTATTTCATTTTGGGGGGAGAAGGCAGTACTCTGGAATGTATGTGAAATATTCCCAGTTATTTATCCATCTCATTGTTTCTCTGAGAAAGACTGAACTCCCCCCAGGAGCTAAAACGACTAAACTGAGGCTATTGATGGTCACACTATGAGAAGACAACAGTCACTGGAAAAGTCAACAATGCTAGAAGCTGAAGGCAGCAGGAAAAGAGGAAGACCCAACGTGAGATGGATGGACTCCATCAGGGGTCGTTTCATAGAAATAGAGCTAGGGGGACTCATTAGCATAACTCATTAACATATGCCACACCCCCTGACATCACTGGAAGTGTGTCATAAGGCCACACCCCCTGACATCACCGGAAGTGTGTCATAAGGCCACACACCCTGCCCCCAACAGTCCGGGCTGCCGCCGCCGGCCTTGTAGCTCCACTGCCGAGCCCCATGAGGAGCCCGGCAGTGGACCTGCAAGGCCGGCGGGAGTGCAAGGAAGCCCCGCGAAGGCCCTCCCTGGCCCCAGGCAGGCAGGGGTGGGGAGAGGCAGGGAGGAAGCAACTTACCCTCCCTCTTCTCCTGCCTCCTCCTGGCTGAATGAGGGCCAGAAGCGGGGCGGCCGGAAGCAGGCTTCGTCATGTGCCCCCCCCATACCTCACCCGGGGGAACTGTGTTCCCTCGCGATCCTCCCCGAAATGACCTCTGGACTCCATCAAGGAAGCCACGGCCCCCAGTTTGCAAGACCTGAGCGAGGCTGTTAACAAGAGGACATCAATTTATAGGGTCACCGTAAGTCAGACTCAGTGACACTTAATACACACACATGCACATTGTTTCCCTAATATGCCCTTTCAACATTATTTACATTTTTAGAAAATGAGTTTTTATCCTAGGGACAGTTACTTAGCCAATCAGGGATCACACAGCCAATGCAATGAGGTCATGATGACGCTACATAGCACCCAGTCACACATTGACTACAAAAGATGGCACAACCCAACTGAGAATGACAGGAAGGCTTCCTGAAACAGCTCTCTAAATGGATGCATGCCTTTGGTGAAAGCACTTTCCCCTCTAAATATACAGCCAAAATAACCAAGTGATAATATCACCCTCAATCTATGCAAATATTAATACAGGCCTCTTTTATGGATTCTTTTGTGGCTACTTGTTCTTTCGGAGGCCTTTTCCACACACACAAACACACACACTGAAATTGCAATCTAACCACAAGAAAAAATGGTTTTTCAATGGCTGACCCTCGATTTTACCATTTACAGGAGTGCATTTATAACAAAATAGTCGTGAAAGGGAGGAAATGCCACCCACATTGATTTGAGGATCCCAGGGCTTGGACAAGGGAGGAAGGGTGATCACATAAACGGTGAACAAACAACCCTCCAGCCCTGTAGCACTGGTACAGTTACATTCCAAGGTTTGGTCTACCCAACTGTAAAAGCTGGATTAAAAGCTCTGTATAAATGATACTGCTTATATATGTCGTGCAAGTATCGACAGAGACATTGCAGTTGTTTGTGCCAGCTCGCTAATTGGATATTTAAATACCCCAGCTTCATTTAGAGGCCCGATTTGCTGACTCGCCTGCTTCATCTTGCCAAACATCTCGTGTGCACTTTGCATAGAGATTTGCGTAACTAATTGCTTTGTAACCATTCCAGCACTGGCAAGGAAAAAAACCCCAGATAAGACCATCTGCATGGTAACGAGAAGGCTTTACTTGAAGCTTTCCTTAATAACAATAACTACTAGAAGTAAGAATGTGCAGTCAAATGTTTATTAATAATATCTGAACTAAACAATGCCCATTCATAAACAGGTTAAATAAGTAGAACGCTTGTGGAAATGGGAAAAACTAAGCCAGTGTGGTGTATTGGATTAGCATCTGGGAGACCCAGATGTGAATCCCCACTCATGCCATGGAAGCTCACCAGGTGACTTTGGTCCAGTCACACTCTCTCAGCCTAACCTACCTCACAGGGTTCTTTGGGGGATAAAATGAAGAGGAGAACAATGGCAACTGGCAGTTCATCTTGCAGACAGATAGCACGGTATAGTGGTTAGCGCTGGATTAGAACAGGGCTGTCAGTTGCCCACCCACTGTGAGCAACCTCCCCTCCCCTGCTTACTCTCAGGCAATTGAACAGCAGGAGGAAATGGAGGGGATGATGCCACGGATGCAGTGATGTCACTTCTGGTCACCACACCCAAAGCACTCTAGGGATTCCCCCAATCTCCGTGGTCTTTAGAGATTGGGGGAATTCCTTGTTCACAGATGACATAACTTCCAGGTGATCACCTGAAAGTGATACAGCTGTGTCAGTGCTGCCCCTCCCCCCAAGCACCACTGCCCCCAAGCTACCAGGGGTTACTGGGAAAAGGCTGGCAACACCAGAGCAGGCCCTGGGACAACTGGGGCTGAGTCCCCACTCTGCCATGGAAATTTCCTGGATGACCTCAGGCCCCTCACACTCTCTCACCCAGCCTAACCTACCCCTCTGGGTTCTTATTGTGATGCTGAAGTGGAGAAGGACTGGGATATAAATAAATATTAATAATCAGCATTTGACCTGCAGACTGAAGGGGGACAATGACTGGCTGAGGATCTGGCATGCCTTCTGCTTGTTTATTTTCTTTAAAAGCTGCCATAGGTAAAGGTAAAGGTTCCCTTGCTCGAAAACCAGTCGAATCCGACTCTGGGGTTGCGGTGCTCATCTCCGTTTCAAAGCCGAAGGGCCAGCGCTGTCCGAAGACGTTTCCGTGGTCATGTGGCCGGCATGACTAAACACCGAGGCGCACGGAACGCTGTTACCTTCCCACCGAAGTGGTACCTATTTATCTACTTGCAATGTCTTGCCTTCGAACTGCTAGGTTGGCAGGAGCTGGAACTGGAGACGGGAGCTCACTCCGTCATGCGGTACCCCCGGGTCTCGAACTGCTGAACTACCGACCTTCCACAGCCTGCAGTTCAACGTCTTAACCACTTGAGCCATCGCAGCTCCAAAAGCAGCCATGGGGGGATCCAAATTAAGAGACCATTCAATAGCGGGGTGGAGTGGGGGAACAAACCAATATGAGAAGTCAACCAGAATGGGAGAAAAAGGCTGAAATTGACCAAGAACAATGAGTTAAGGCCAGGGGGTGGAACAACTTAGTTCTCTCCAACTATTCCCCCCCCCTCACAGCCCCCCACAGCCGAGGCTTCTAGCCAAAAGAACTCGCTGAAAAGCAAATTAATGCTGCTGCCTGCCCATTTTGTAAATGGAAATGTTTATAAAATGGAGATGCTGTCTCCTATCTGCCTGATATACAGAAGGGGGGGATCCCTTGGGTAAGGGGTACAACCCTGAGAATGTTGGGGTGGGGGGGATAAAATACATTCCTTATGAAAAACAAGGTCACATGGATGTCCCAGTTCTGAGAGTTTTAAAACTATATTTTCTTCTTAAAATGACCAAAAACACACCCTAAATCCAAATCAGGCTTTTTGTGAAAAACACTAATTAGAGCTATTATTTGTATGAACTACCCTTCTATTTTAAAAAGCAGCATGATGCATTTTTTTTAAAAAAGAGAGAGCAGATGGTTCCTGCTTTATGGGTTGACAATTTAAACACAAACAAAAGGGGGGGGGGACCCAGACTGAATGAAAATGTGAAGAAGAGAAGGCAACCCCCCCCCCCTTGAGTGGGATATAGAATAGCTGAAACAAATGAAGGCATTTTTAAAGGGGAGAAGGGAGAGAGAGAATCAATTGAGCAAAGTACCAGTGAGTAAAAAGTTTCACAGATAAGGAGCAATATAGAGAGGGAAAACACCAAGGTGTAAACTAGAGGAAGAGAAACAGAGCTTATGGACTAAGAACTAGAAGAGCACAAAGACACAGGAGAATACAGAGAAATTCACATTTGAGAGATAACCAGGAGCTAAAGAAGGAAAACATTTAAAAATAAGCACAAACATTCTCCTGCCATTTTCCCCCTTCTGTAAAAATCTGATGGTTTGGACCCTACTTTGCCTTGTTATCCCTGAAAATGTTATAGGCAAGGCTCACGGGACTGCTTGGTCAAAAACCAGGTAGGGCAGAGATCCCAGTGAGGAGGGGAATGGGGTGGGGCTGCCAACTCCACCTTGGGAAATTGCTGGCGGTGGAACCTGGGGAGGGCAGGGTTTGGAGAGGGACCTCACCAGAGTACAATACCATACAGTCCACCCTCCAAAGCAGCCATTATCTCTAGGGAAACTGATCTCTGTAGTCTGGAGATGTTGTAATTTTTAGAAATACCCAGGCCCAGCCTGGATGTTGGTTACCCTTAGAATAGGGTGAGGTGACCCCCTCTTGAGCCAGCAGGATAGGTGTTAGTCTTCAACCCAACATATTCTTACTCTAGACCAGGGGTGTCGAACTCATTTGTTATGAGGGCCGGATCTAAGTGAGACCTTGTTGGGCCGGGCCATGTGTGTCATAAAATGTAATGCCAGGTAGCGGAGATACAAACTTTATAAAGGACACAAACACAAAGGGGATTTTTTTTACTTAAAAACATGCTTAAAATATTAGCACTCTTGCAATATTTTGTTTATTTAACAGGGTCTGATAATTGACACCTCTTGCTCCGAATTATTGCATCAAAATG